TGCTCGTGTTGAAATCCTTTGTCATTTTTTGTGTTTGTCGTCATTTGACGTTGAAACGCAAGCCATTAATAAAAATCAGAGACATTTTTGTTTTGTGTGTGTTTCGATACGATTGACGATCGGGCGAGGGAAGGGGTTAAAAAACAGATCCGCGTCCAAGAAGCCAGCCGTGTTTGTTGGCCCGTTGTATTTTTTTCCATATTTTCTCTTCCCCCTGGCTTTCTGTTTTCAAATCACAATTAAACACGGCCTATTTCCGTGTTTAAAGGGCGTGTAAAAAGTGTACAGCGCACGTTAATAAATATTTGCAACATTCTTTTTTTTGGGCATCGATTTCCGACGGTATACCTACATGTAACAGCAATGGAAATAGCTCGTTTCTTTCCTTTACTCCTCCTTCCCATTTTTTTCTCTCTCTCTGTTTTTTTTTTTTTTTTTTTGCTTCGATATATATTTGCAAGCGCTCTGTTTTCGTTCTTCTCCACGAGCCTATTTATCAAACACGCGTAAAAAACGAATGCAAATTTCCGTCCGTCTGAATCTTAAAAATATGATGTTTGATCGATAGTGTGTTAATATTAACGTTCAGTTTTTCTTTTTTTTTTCTTTTTACTTTGACATTCTTTGCGCGTGTATTCGTCGTTGAAAAGCAGAGTTTCTAAATACTAATCCCTAGTCATTATTCAAAATTTTCAATGTTTTTCATATGTTTAGTAAAATTAGAGGTTATATATAAGTACATGCAGGATAATCCTTAATCGCATGAATCTACACACTAAAAATAATATAATATAAAATAAAAAACTAAAGTATCTGCCACATAGATTCATGTGACATTTTTTACTTATAGTATGTAGATTTACTATCTAAGTATTCAACATGGAATTAAGGATCACCCTGTGTAGTCCACAATTAGTTAAATCTAAGTACAGTTGATCAATTTCCAAACTGGAATTTCTAATGGGAAAGTTTTATCCTTTTACACTACTATCCGATTTATTTCTATTTTAGTCGTAATATCACACGTCCTATTGCAACGTTTACATTCCTAGAATTAAAAACTCTAATTTTCAAGTTCGAAAAGGGACGTCGACGTCGAGATCGACAAGTCGGCAACATGTCTGCCGCGACTTTAACAAGAGGAATAAGACGGTGCTAGACAGATCCATTGACTAGGAACGCGTGTCAAGTCGGTGGCAAAAAGGGAATGTGTGGCGCGAGCGCTAAAACAACATTTTAAGCGGGCAAACATGCATAGAATATGATAACAAAAGGCGTGACCGGAGCGGAACACATGTCCAAACATTAGGGCACAATGTCCTACCGGTCGAAATCGTCTGAGTCGCCCCTCTGTTCCCACCCTTATGGACCCGATCAGTTGTTCGCCGGCAACAGTAAAATGTTTGCAATACGTTACACGGGCCATTCAGACCCGAAACGGTCCCGGTGAACTGTTGCCTAAATGCCGTACGATGACCAAGAAATGGCCCCCCCCCCCGAAGAATGACCGCTTCCCTACCGACCGATCGATCTTTTCTTCTCTTGTGTCGCAACGAAAACACCGTCACATCGTTCTTCACCTCCTCGCTGATTCTCGTTCTTGACCGAGGAATTCAAGCTTTGAGGAATGTTGGCGTTCGCTGTTGAACGTTCTTGAAGATTTACACCACTCTCGGTGTTTCCTCCATGTTTCCTTCGTACATTGAGTGATTTTTATTAACCCTGTTCTGTTACCCGAGCCATTCTCGATTCAAAGGTATTTTTATATTTCTGGGACACTTTTTTTTTGTTACTTTAGAAGTAAAATGACTGAAGTAAAAGTTACTGATAACAGCTACTGTGATTTTTTTTTTTTTTTTTTTGAAAATATTGAAAATCTTTTCGTTTCGTTGAAACGAGGGTGTAATTTATATTTGAATGCTGTTGGAGAGATTAAAATATTCCACATATTTGTTTGTGATAATGTTGTTGAATTAATTGTCTTTTTATGTACAGAGTTAAATTGCATTTGAAAAAGAAAAAAATATATATTGTCTTTACGTACTAGCATCTATTTACAATTTTATAACCAGACTGCGAACTTTTGTACAATTAACTTTACAAAAATTAAAAAGTGCGGATAATCTGGAGAAACGTAGAAAATATTCAAAATATAGCGTTTTTCCACGTGAAACCAATTCCCTACCGGGATTCTTCTATCTTTTAAATTACATTTTCTATAAATCTGCGCAAAAATCGGCAGTCTATTTCCAACAAACGTTCGACAAAATCTGCTATTGTAGTATCAGAACGTTTCAACGTCGCGGACATCTCTCATGTACTGGCAGCAAGCCTATAAAAGAGAAGACAGCCTGGAATAAAAAAGGCGGCGTTCTTCTTTCTCTCGTTACGTTTCGCTTCCTGCTCCTTCGTTACCGCGAGACGGCGGCCTTTCTCGTGCTCTCTGATGGATGTTATGTGGGTCGTTCCATCCCGTCTCTCTCTCTCTCTCTGTCTGTCTGTCTCTCTCTCTCTCTCTCTCTCTCTTCACTACCTCTCCCTCGCTCTCTCCCTGTAGCTGATCCCGCGGCCTCTCGCCCGCCATTCTCGTCTCTTCCGTTCCGTTTCGTTCCAGGCTGGCTTGCGAGCCCAACTTGCGTCAATATTTGACTCAAACACGTTAAAACAATACCCAGGCCCCGGAGTAGAGAGTCGTTTCAACGTGCTTCCCAGAATTTTATCTCGCGTCAGAAAACGCCTAACGACTTCCCGCCGCGGAGAATTTCGGGCTTGTGGAGGGAGTTTGCGAACACCCCCGGAAAACAGACGGAGAACCGGCAGAACCGCGTTGCTTCACCTAGTCGTTTTCTTCTTATTCTTCCTCCTCTTCTTCTTCTTTCTCTTTCTTCTCAAAGTTTTTCTTTTTTTCTTTTTTTCTTTTTTTTTTTTTTTGGATACCCTGCTTTTTCGGGTATTCTTCGGGTTTAATTTCATATTTAGTCGAACGTTTTATCGCCCGAGGCGATCAAATGGCACGCGAGCCTGGTCGAGTCACTTTCGAGAGATCTTTGTTGGGCGTTTCCATTAGGATAGGATTCAGGTTTTTCGGGGAGGGAGTAAACAGAGGATGGTACGACTGGAAGTTGACTGGACTATTAGGGGATGGTTAATTAGCTCTTCCAGTTGATTAGGATTGTTGCGGAAGGTTAAATTATGGCTTGAATTTTTGGAAGTGTGAAATTATATGTTTTTTTTTTTTTACGAGAGAGGAAATCAGTGGATATTGATATAATTAATTATAGGATTCTAAGAAATTTAATTTGGAAAGTCGACTGTGGATATTTTACATTTGCAAAAACGCAGTAAAAGAATAGAATGTAAATAGGATCTTTTAACTGATGTTTTACAGAATCTCTTATATTTAAAAATTCTGCAAGTTTTATAAATTTCCTTTCCTTAAATGCACGAACATCTGCAGTTTAAGTAAAGTCAGTATGATAAAATGAATTGTGTCCTGAATTTTTTGATGTTATCATCTTTATACCGTGTGGCTAATTGATTTTGAGAATTAATTAAAATCACTTCTTTCCTCAGAAAGGAGAAGGTCAATGCGTTTTGCAAAGTTATATATTATGAAATTTAATCAAACCGTAGAACGTTGGAAAGTATACTTTTTATGTGTTTTCATGTGTTTACGTTTAATTAATTCTGGCAGTTAATTAAAATCGTTTTAGAGAAGAAAGATAAATACGATCAAATATAAATTGTGATTCGAATTTTTGTCAATCAATCTCTTGTAATTGGAATATGTAGATAAAATTTTAATTCTAAATCGAATCATA